CAGTTCTACAGGAGGTCAGTAATTCAGTGGTAACGTGGGTTCAAATGGCGGATGACGAGTACCGGAAAACAAGAAACCTGTATGCAAATAACGCTTTCTGATGTCTGATTCCAGCCGGTTGTGTTCGGAGACTGGAACCTATGCATTTCACTGTAGTTCATATTGACTCTGTGTTTGTGATCAACACTGAAATGGAATGCAAGCAGGCAAATCAATAACTAACCGTGTAGTGCATAAATTTTAATGATAATATATATATCACCTGTAAAATATTTGCTTGTCAGCATTTTAATGTTTTAAATTGTAGTAAGTCTTTTTTGTTGTGATGTAGGAGAAGAAGAAGAAGGGATCTATATTATGCAACTTTATACGAAGATGTCTGCTATATGAATAGTGCTAGGCAAAATGTGTTCGTGAGGACAAATGCAAAATATATCAATTAGCGGGTTCAATATGTTCAGGATGCTGTGATCTCTTTTTAGACAATGGCTGTTATTTTAAGGAAAATGACTGACTGACCGACTCGTCTTAACGTAGTCAGGTTCATCGTCGTATTTCCGAGCATCATCCAGCATGGTTAAGCAGGAGACAAACAAGATCTATTCGTAGCTCTATTACATCACATTTTGTAGACAGTAACCTTAATGTTCATACAGCATTCAAAGTTATTTACTGAAATACTAGTAAATTTAATTTCGCTGTTAGAGTTTTTCTTCCACATACAGCTGAACGTATTGGAATCCACCTAAAGAAGTCTTCGGAAGAAATTCGTAAATCGTTTCGTTTCATGACTACTTAGCCCTCCTTCTAAGTCTTTCAAAAATTATGATTGTCCAAATTATTTTATCATTTTTTTCTGACTACTTCATTTTCAGTTACAAGTTATCATTGTCCGAATCGTTTTATTTTTCTCTAGTTTTATGTTACGTAATCAACTTGAGCGCACGCTTATTCCTTAATTACTCTTCATTTTTCCCGAAACTATGCATTATGTAATCCACTTGTGGTAACTATTTCTACCCTTTAATCGTGTATATTAATTTTCCACGTCAGTTATCATGCATCACTTTAACAAGTTGATACAGACCAATTATTGTTAACGCCAGTTGACTGACAAAATGTCGTGTAATGTATTAAAAATGCTATACCTTATGTATTAGAGTAGTATAAGAATAGAACTGGTGCACTGTGGTAAAGTAGAATTCCATTGTGGATGAAATTTATTTTGATTGTATGGAGGATTTCATCATGAGCTGACATCAGTTAGATAACCACTCGAAAACCAGGGAGTACTGAACAGCTGTTTCATCCTAGTATGAGACTCTTCGTCAGTACGCACACCGGGGTTCGAACTCAGGACCTACTGGTTACAAGGCAAGCCCGTAGACGATTGAGCCGCTGGGAGCCGATCCAATGGTTTTTGAATTCTAACTTCTGCCAATTCATGACATAGCGCGACCACTTCGCAATGTCTTCCTGGATGAGTAACTGTCTCGCCTTCAATCTGCTGTGCCCTACTGGTTACGGCTCCCCACTAGAATCCCAGGTCACTGCCTGAATAGGGTCAGTCGCTGGTGAGCATAAGAATAATTTTCATGCAGTTGAAAATGAGGCAGTTACTCATCCAGGAAGACATTGCGAAGTGGTCGCGCTATGTCATGAATTGGCAGAAGTTAGAATTCAAAAACCATTGGATCGGCTCCCAGCGGCTCAATCGTCTACGGGTTTGCCTTGTAACCAGAAGGTCCTGAGTTCGAACCCCGGTGTGTGTACTGACGAAGAGTCTCATACTAGGATGAAACAGCTGTTCAGTACTCCCTGGTTTTTGAGTGGTTATCTAACTGATGTCAGCTCATGATGAAATCCTCCATGCAATCAAACAAAAATCCCTACAAATCCAATACTTGAAAATTTATTTTGATAAAGTCTCATAGATTTATACAGTAATATTTATTGATGACCACGTTTCGAGCACAGTGTATTGCTCATAATCACATCATATATATATATATATATATATATATATATAGACAATATCAAATCATTTCTCGCAGATGAGTGCATTGCAAAATCTGACTTGTTTTATCAATTAGTTAACTTAGCTGGGTTAATCACTCTAGTACTAGCTGATTGATATATTCCGAAGATCTAATCAACCCCGATCTACTCGTCTGACATGTGCAATGGATCTCACAGTCAGTGTATGGTATGTGGTAAATTATTTCATTTTTCTTAATTGGATCTTTTGGACCTTTAGGCCGACCAAGTTTATCACTGACTGAGGTAGTTGGCGTAATCGCTACTCCTAATTTCAGCTTGATTAAAAATCTTTCGTAAGACGTCTGATGTTCCTTGTTTATATAGCAGCACTCTCCAGGCTTTAAATTCCTTATTACTTGCATTAAATTTCATTACTACTTTTATCCTTTTTTACATCTTCATAGATTTTTTATTATTATAGAGTATGGTGCTGTCAATTATGTACAGAGAAGGCAAAAACACCGTTAATCGAAGGACGACAGAGATGAAGTTGACAACATCTTAAGCTACAAATCCTGGCAAAGAAAAACACCGGACTGTTATAGTTTCAAATTATTTCAGTCGGCACAAATACCACTGTTGCCCAACAGTTTTCACAATTTTGCTAATACTGCAGGAATTCCTGCCTGAGCGATTGGTTATCTTAACAGAAGGTGTACTATTCGAACTGAATACACACAGAAATCATCAGTAATATGCATATCCTCCACTTATCTACCTAATCACATCCCTAGGTGATGTGTTCGCACAAGTAGCGTCTCTGAATATACAGGAAACCCAGTACAACTAGACATTGTTTCAGTGGAGCCTACCTATGATACTCCTAGTTGTTATGAACTGGATCGTATATCAGGCTGTGAGGAGCGAGAATGCAAGGATACATCGAAGCAACAAGAACACTCTGGAAAACGTGAAGTTCACAGACAACTTATGTCTAATATCATACAAACCCGGAGATCTACAGGTGAAAACCAGCCAGTTGGCAGAAGATGCAGAGAAGACATGACTTCAGGTGAACATAGAAGAGACCGAGAAGGTGTCTAATTAATAACATTAAGCAGCAGTCAGTATCGACGGGAGAAATATAAACGGGTTGCCCCTACCACTGGTCTTGTTTCAGCTACAGACGGCTATGACCAAGTTGTCAAAGAACTTAGAGAACAACTTCAGATTCTTAGCGGTGTGGGCAAATCAGCACTTCTGCATGAGTCACAGACTTGGCTGGTCACATAAAGCATTTTAAATTGGGTAATGCAGATCTTTATCAGCAGCCAACTTCATACTGAAGATCAAATGGCGATAAATGATGGCAGCAAGGCTATCTGGGAACGAACTAATCAAGAACCATCTCATCCGTTGTCTGTAAACGTAGGCTTAGTAAAATGTCTAACAAACCCAGCAATACCAATAAGGAGTACAACAAAAGACCTAAATGATGAAATAAAACAGATAGAAGAAGCGTCGGTGTCAAATAATTTACTATCCTCTAAAATTCATTAAGAAGATCAGAAATGGCCAAAAGCAAAATTAAAATAATCAGGGTACTAGTGTGGTGTGAGCAGACCGTGAGAAAATATGAGCAAGGCTGATTCAACAACCAATCACAGCAAAGTTAACGTGGCGAAATATGATTCGCAGATAGAGAACTCTATTTGTCGAGGAATCCCGAAACAACCAATCAGAAGCCTGCGTTTGTCTGCCTAACTTCTGATAAACAACCAATCAGATAACTGCGCTTGTCTACTTGCATAAGCTATAATAATGTATGTGAAATATGTATAAATACGTGTTGATTTTTATAATAAAACGATCTGTTGCCTGGCCCTTGTCTTCTGTTGTTACACTAGTAATGATAGCATAAATAAGAGGGAATATAAGGCATCTACAGTAGTTTTACCAAATAAAAAGGAGACATCTGAGACCCTACGTAAGATTCTCAATAAAGCAGGAATTAGGGTGGCATTCAAACCCACAAACTCACTCAGGTAGGACAAACTCTGTAGGTTAGAGGACCTACTTGACGTAATTAGACAAAATAATATAATTTACACAGCAACTTGCAATGATTGTGTGTGGGGTCAACTACATAGGTCAAACTACTACATCGGGAGGGGGGTAGGGAATTCTGGGCACATAAGAATTTAGGTCAGGTTAAAATGGCTGATAGTGTGAAGGTAAAAATAATTTAGAAAAAAGCTCAGCGATTGCACTGCATGCATTGACACGCAACTACACAATCTGGTAGGAGAGGGTTAAAATTCTAAGAAGTAATCTAGGTAAGCAGGTGGAGAGCGAGAGGGATTTATATTACTCAATCCTTGTTTATCGAATGAATCTACACCAAACAGCTGAAATAGGAATGACTCATCACTCATACCGGAAATATGGAAAATACTTCTACCAATCAAATCAAGAGATGAAAGCAATAATGGAATTATATAAACTAAGTTAGAAAGTTGTGTGAATAGTGCCTTGATATGATTATCAACCGAAATAAATTGTGCTCGAAACATGGTCATCAGCAAATATTACTCATTGTACAACGCTGTGTGACTTTATCAAAATAAATTTTATCCACAATATGGATCTAATTTAAACGTAATTATTTATTTGCTCAGTCTTTTTGCTTTGTAAACTTTTCAAATTCCAACTTATCACTTTTGATTTGTGTTTTTTTACGTAATCGTTCAATGTTCAATCAGTTTCTTTATTTTTTTTTTTATTTTTATTTTTGATTACAGCTTGATTCCACACTGTATTTTTGGTACAAGTGTGGAATTTTCAGCGTGGATATCGGTAGCCCAAAATTCGCAGGCCAACCAAAGATATCAGGTGTGCGTCGGCGTGGGCTCGAACCCCGGACCATGTGCATGGTCGGCGAGAGTCCTAACCACTAACTTTGTTTATTCAAATCAAAGTTCAAGAGGCGCGAGATTTGAAATAAAAAACAATGATATCAGTTAAGAAAAGATGAATGTATGTATATATTTTTTTCTTATTATAAAAAAGCAACTTGAAAATTTACAGATTAATAAAAATTAACAATATAGAAAAACAAACAATCAGTAACAGCAAGATGGCGAACATCATCTGGACTAATTATCACTCGACCAATCGACCGATCGATTGATCGATCGCTTGATCAGTCATGGTTAAGTTAATAAATATTTTGCACAATTTGATTGGAAATGGATCATTTTTAACACTTAATTATATATATATATATATATTTATGTTACGTTATGAATCAATATTCTTATGAATTAACAAAGTGCATTTTGGCTGGCTTGCTTCCTTGTTTGTTGTTCCTTCCTTATTCTTCAGAGCCTTCCTCGCTGATTTCTGAAATGTTATCATTAGGATTAACCCCGTAGACTTTTAACTCGTCTTTATCCGGTTTACTAGTCTTCCCGTTGAACAATGCAGTGACACGTGTCGATTTTAGACAGCTGTTCAAAACATCCATTACATTTGGATGTGGCATGTGTGTTTTAAAGCCCATTGTTTCATAAGTGAAAAGTTTCTGTGATTTACATGACTTCTGTTGTTGTTGTTGTTGTTGCTGTCTAGCCAACTTCTCTAACGGTTCAATACAACTTTGAATGTATTCACGTGTCCCGCGTGGATCATGTAGTCGACCAGGAATAGTTTGACTAGGTTTCGGTGCTTCCCAAAATCTCAATTGATTGTCATCCAACTGACGTTTATTCAACTGAAGTTCTTCCAATAGCCATGTGACAGTCTCTTTGTCGAACATTTCATCGAAAGTTTTCTGAATTTTTTCTTTTCTAATCAACTTGACCTTTTTCACCGTGTTTGGATCAATAAAGACACGAATTGCTTTCCATATCCCGTGAAAGAATGGATTATGATGGAGTAGGATAAATTTGTATAGTCGTTCTGGATAACAGTCGGCGAAAGTTTGTATGAATTTACTGCCGATTTTAGGATTACAACAGGCTACGGTTAATCCTGGAAGAGAGGAAACACAAAGAGTGCATTGTTAATAATAATAGTAATGATTTACTTTATTCCAAAAACAGTACTTGTGATACAGAATGGAATTTTCAGCATTATTCACAATATTCCATCTAATTTCCTCAAATTATAAATAAAAATTAATCACACAGAAAATTTTCCACATTTACAATAGAGGTATTGTCAAAAACATGCAGCATATAAAATGGAAATAGCAATAATAATGATAACAGCTAGGGTAATAATAATAAGAATACAAGTGTAAATTGCCGTTGGCTTGTGTCACACAGTATTGGCAATGTGGTATAGAAATCCTAACATGTTTAAAAATATTGAGTTTAATGTTCTCTTTACATGATATGGTGAAGGGAAAAACAAAGATTACTGCCGTCATGGAGATAAGTTGGTGTTTGCAATTATGAGAGTAAAACAGAGAAGTAACAGGACTATAAATATAATAGAAGTAATAAAAGTAAAACTTGAAGGTAAATAATGATGGAAGGATGGATGGAGGAAATTGTTTATTTACTAGAAGAAAAAAGGTTAGTTAGTTCTTGCCTGACACTATTTTCATCACATAAAATACGTGACAAGTATGGTATCATAGAATTCTTATACTTAGACGTGCGAGCATACAGTTTTCTGAAGTTACTTCTTGTTCTACCTGAGGAGATGCAAGGTGAAAGCTGAGGTTAAGTAAACTGGATGCTCCAAGTCAGACAAAATCCCTCTAGCAAATTTATTGCACGAAGTCAAGTGCCTATCGACAACGACGTTAACTATGTGGTCCTTGGGACACAACTCACCCGACTGACAGTCTTCAGAATTCTACGAATTGTTACACAGTCGTTTTTAAGCAAACCAGGAAAGAATAATAAGGGTGAACAACAAAGAAGAATAGGTAGGATGCAAGCAAGAGTTTATGAACTGTAAGAGGAGGAGGGATTGAGTTATACCCGAGTGTCTTAACTTCTTAATGTAAAATGTCAGGTGGAATATTTTACTGGAGATCGCTAAGATATGGGAAGTCCAGGAGAAATCAGAAGAGAGAGTAAGTCCAATATACTTAATTTCTGATTTAATTCCTATGTCATTGTCGTCTATCTTACAACTGTCATGAGAATCGACGACTTCTCTTAACTGTCGTTTACATCTTAAGCTGAAATTAACAGTTTGACATTTAGAAGGATTCAGTTTAAGACCATTAGACTCAGACCATTTACTGACTCCCGACAGAAAGCTATTTATTTTGGTACAATCTAGCTGGGAGTTAACAGCCATTGAAACTGTTAAATCATCAGCGTACTTCAAAAGTTTATTTCATCAGAGTGAGGCAAGTCATGCAAGAAGAAAGAAAAAAGAAAAGGAGAAAGGACTGCGCCTTGATGGACACCAGCTCCAGCAGGATTGCATTGATCGCATGCGTATTAATGTCATTTGAGAGCTGTTTCAACATACCCTATACCTTTATCGACCTTATCATTCAATAGCTGTATGGTGATACGACATCTCAAATTGATTCTTAACGGAAAACTCACAGATGTTTTTGTAGTGAAGACAGGAGTAAGACAAAGCTGCCTACTATCAACAATGGCATTCCTAGTCGTGGTGGACTGGATCAGGCAGTAGGCTGTGGGAAGCAAGAAGACTGGAATACGTTGGACCGATAAGAAGACATTGCGGACCATTTATGTCTAATATTACTCTCCCGCACACATTCAAAGACCTACCGGCGAAAACCGACAAGCTGGCTGGAGAGACTGGCAGCAAAGATAGGACTTCAGGGGATGGTGATGGTGCCGAATTATCTAACAACAAGAAGCACCAATCACCAGATACAGGAGAAATTTGAAAGAAGTCACTTCTTTTATCGTGATAAACACGGGACCAGAGAAGCAAGGGAGACCTGCATTACCGTCGGTCAGAATAGGCAACAAGATTTAGATTCCCAACAATTTTGCAAATCAGTACTGCTACCACATGGTTCAGAGATTCGCCATGCATCTCAAGCGTAGGATTCACGACAGGCCGTCGCAGATTTTCATCAACAGCTGCTTTTTTTGGCTTCCGTCAATGAACTATCCAAAAAGAAACCCATTCCCAACCCATCTTCGTCGAGGGCTATCAGTGATTCAATTGCAGTTGAAGGATTGTGAACAAGAAGTCACAGTAATTTCCATTCTTTTTGTATTTCGACTTATCGATTTATGTCTAATAGTCAGTAAGTGGCGACTGAAACAGCTCATAAGTCTTCAACATTGCTTGCAGTTAAGTCAATCCCTTCCGGAGATGTAACAGCTAGACTGATATAAGTTGTCTTGAATTTAAGATTGCTTAAAAGGTAGGTTTGTGGTGGTGAGGAGATTTTATTCAGCTTCAAAGTGAATTCCATTAGAAATCAGTACCAGTTAGGTGGCAATTGTCCCACTCTAGGACTCTTCAATAGTGCGTACCAATGACCTAGTGGGGAACGGAACTGTATGCAACGAAATGAATGTGTTCAACACTTAGCCACTACACTGGAATCCATTGGCCTGTAGATTACAACTTATATCATTGTGATATGTAGGACAAAGTAACCAATCCATTTAGAACAAATCAGAAAAATCAATAAATCAATAGAAAAGATAACAAGTATGGCTATGTGACAGGCAAATAAACCCTCTCTCTATCCACTATCTATTAGCACTGCAAGTTTACAAATATTCTTCATGTAAGTTAACAATGTTTAAAGAACAATTCATATGTGTAGGTAGGATGTACCCATAAAGTCATTTAGCCGAAAGGATCGATAAAATACGAAACAGATGACGTAGCTCAGTTTGCAGTTTAAACCATATTAAGAGGACGTTTTATTGTATCCGTAATAAGTAAGTGAAATGGATAGAGGATCTACCTATCGCCCTGTCTCATACTTTCATATTATTTTCAATCTAATGGTCAAGTTGAACGCCTTGGTGGGCCTTCTGAAGGAACTTCACTGAATCTCCACCAGGAAAGGAGCATCATTGAAATATTTAGCAGACAGTCAGGCAAACATCAAACGTCCCACTACTGAATTCGATTGACGGTTGTCGAGCACATTACTAAGTCGTTTAGCCAATATACGATTATGAGTGAACTATAAAATTCAGAGTTTTTTTTTATATTCCTTTACGTTCCCAGTGGAACATAAGGCACTCTCAAGCTAGAGGTTTGACATTTTGATGGCAGTGGTGTTTATTTTTACGGGATAAAGTTGTTAGCCAGCCTCATGCCCAACCTTCCCACTCTACCAGTCTTATTACTACTGGCTTAGCGAGGTAAAGGAGTGCGTTGGTGGCCGGGGATCGAACTCCGAACCATATATGTTGTCGGCAAGCATTCAGAATAGAAATACCGAAATGCCATATGATTAGCCAAATAGACGCCGTGGATAACTGAATCAGTCGAATTGAATGAAACATTGAATCCTGTCGAATTGTACTTTTTGGCTGTATTATTAGTGGTAGCCAAACTTCTCCCTGTAGAAGCTACAAATGTTGACAAATTTTAGCTTATCACACCACTGTTTTCACAACCAACTTTGAGCTCATTTCCAGCCATTCTGTAGCCAAATTTTCAAAATTATCCACTACACCTTGTATGTCATTCAAAATCTAACTCATCAGTGCTATTGATTAGTGCAAGCGTAGAACTTGTTCACTGTGGTAGAATGTAACTCTTTATTGGATAAGTTTATTTCAAATATCGCATAATGGGTGATGCAGTATGATTAATAACTGAATTTTGCTTTATTCTACAGTCGAGCATGACCAACTCACCTAGTTTGTTTTCTAACTTTAGAAGTGGATTGGATTCCATCTACAATTGAGTTAATACATGTGAAGAAGAATAAGGAATATAATCAGATCTCAACACATTGATGGAATGTGTCATTCACATATATCCTTCATAACCCAAGAAGCAAGATTGAACGTTCTAAGAGCTTCATGTCCCCACCTTTCCATATCGAATATGTGTGCTGCTGTTGAGGATATTAGTGATCCTATTACCGCACAATTTGTTTGTTCACGTAGTTTATCCACTTGTTGACACTGCATCACTTTAAGATATTTAAAATAAAATGATCTAATGTGGGAGTTCTATATTAGTTTGTTTATTAGATGTATCACACAGTGAGTGAAACAGTATTCCTATTTACCAGGTGATGTTTCAAAACCTAAGTTCCATAGTATTCTTTATTCCTTCCTCTTCGTGTTGTAGGGGTACTAGAATTTTCCATATGTCTGGGACAGGCGTTGAATCAATCCTATTAAACGTGTTGGTTTGCAGTTGATTCGATAAACAAAGCTTCTGTTATCAATCTCTCCCTCCCTCCATCCTGTTACATTAGATTTTAAAACCGTCATCTTATCCCATCCTATTGTATGGATGGTTGTGTGTAATTGCATGTAGTGAGTGGTATAGCTGAACTATTCTCTACATTTCGTATCTTATTCGGGTCAACTAATCTGGATTTTGCTAGGTTTCTATGCTCGTCTAGTTTGACTGACTGCACCTGTTCTACTAGTTCGACCCACCTATGTAACTGAACTGGCATTCGTTCCAGCAGGATATTAGATAAACTAAGTTGTTTTGTTTAAATGGCTCCAATGGCAAGATCCTTTAATCGACAAAGCTTGTTTCTAATTGAGTTTGTGGGGTGGTTTGAATGCCAGCCACTTTTATTCCTGCCTGCCTTGTTAAGAATTCTGTATGAGGTGGTTTCCGAGGTTCCTTCCTTGTATGGAATTACTACTGATGATTTAGATTTCTTATTGTTGGTGTCGTCATTATTATTATTATTATTATTATCACTATTATCATTACAATTATTATTATCATTATTATTGTTATCATAATCATTATTGTTATTATTAGTATCACTATCGCTACCATCATTAATTATTTTATTTTTACATTTACTTACATATTTCTTGACTAATTTATCCGAGTAATTATTAAGTTTCAAGGCTTGTTTTATATGTATCACTTCCTGTCTTAGATTTTCCATGATACTACTTAGTTAGATTGCAACGTGAAAAAGAAAGAAGATGGGAAGTTAAACACCAGTGTTTTCAGGAAACCCACATATTCAAACAGATATTTGGACTTCAGATCATACCATTCTATATCAGTAAAAATAGGATTGGTGAAATATTTAAGTGACAGAGCACAAAATCTAAGTAGTATCATGGAAAATCTAAGACAGGAAGTGATACATATAAAACAAGCCTTGAAACTTAATAATTACTCGGATAAATTAGTCAAGAAATATGTAAGTAAATGTAAAAATAAAATAATTAATGATGGTAGCGATAGTGATACTAATAATAACAATAATGATTATGATAACAATAATAATGATAATAATAATTGTAATGATAATAGTGATAATAATAATAATAATAATAATGACGACACCAACAATAAGAAATCTAAATCATCAGTAGTAATTCCATACAAGGAAGGAACCTCGGAAACCACCTCATACAGAATTCTTAACAAGGCAGGCAGGAATAAAAGTGGCTGGCATTCAAACCACCCCACAAACTCAATTAGAAACAAGCTTTGTCGATTAAAGGATCTTGCCATTGGAGCCATTTAAACAAAACAACTTAGTTTATCTAATATCCTGCTGGAACGAATGCCAGTTCAGTTACATAGGTGGGTCGAACTAGTAGAACAGGTGCAGTCAGTCAAACTAGACGAGCATAGAAACCTAGCAAAATCCAGATTAGTTGACCCGAATAAGATACGAAATGTAGAGAATAGTTCAGCTATACCACTCACTACATGCAATTACACACAACCATCCATACAATAGGATGGGATAAGATGACGGTTTTAAAATCTAATGTAACAGGATGGAGGGAGGGAGAGATTGATAACAGAAGCTTTGTTTATCGAATCAACTGCAAACCAACACGTTTAATAGGATTGATTCAACGCCTGTCCCAGACATATGGAAAATTCAACTACTTCTAGGACAAATAGGAGTGAATAAAGAAAAAACTATAGAACTCAAGTTTCGAAGTCGTGTGATTATAATTGATGAAATGATTATGAACAGTAATAAATTGTGTTCGAAACTTTGTCATCCAGTAAATAATACTGTTACACTCACTGTGTGATACATCTAATAAACAAACTAAGATGGAATTACTTACTGCCGCAGTGCCCAGGTTTACACATATACTTTTGTGGAAGTATTGATTAATGTGATTGGTTAACATTTTCTTTAATGAGTGTAGGTGGCCAGGCTGATAAACTGTATGACTGTTGGTAAAGATCTCTAGATCACATGTGAAATGTAAGACGACATAACTCAACTACGCAATGAGTTTCAGCGTAATCGAATATTAAACATCACTTAGAAGTCGTTTGACAGGATGACATGTTTCTTGAAATCTTCAAGGTTCAATGAGTCGTTGAGTTGTCATCCCTACTGCTAGGCCATTGGAATCACTGTGGTTCTCCTCCAAGCAGCCAATGATATTATTTCTGATCACAAGCTTAAACATTGAGCTCGAGTCCGGTTTCACCGACTTCGCTCTGGATACCATATGTTTAGTTCATATAGCCTGTTCGAATCAGCTGAACTGTGAACTTTAGAAAATACACGAATAAAAAATAGTATAAGTAAATAAACCTTTTGATTTATTGATCGATTGATTGATTTATCGATCGATATTTTATCTTACCTGTACAATCAACAATGAATACCAGCTGGGTGGCTGAACTTTTGATACTTCGTTTAGCATTTTCAATAAGATAGACCATATGATAGATGACGTCATCCGCATTATTTTTAAGTGTTTGACATTGAGCAAAACATGCATACATTACAGGTCGACCTTCAAGATCGAAGCCAATTTGTCTCTAGATAAGGAAGAGACAAAAGAAAGGAAGAAAGCAGAGAGAGAGAGAGAGTGAAACGATCAGTTTATTGATATATTTTGAGTTTTCTTTGATAAAGGTTCAAAATACCAGTGGATTGAAAATGGGACTGTATGGAGGGAGCCTGGCTAGTGAAAGTAAGATTTACAAAGCTGAAAGCAGTAGACTCTCGTCATCACCGTAAAACGGCTCACCTTTTGTAGAACTAGTAATTGGACTGTGTAAAGGCTTAATTGTAGAAGTTTGCATGAAACAGTGAAGTCAATTGATAAACCTTTTGACCTTTATCGAATTTACTGGAAGGATACATACGACTGATTGATTGATTTGAGTAGTTGGATAATACGTGAACTTGTAGTGCTTGGCAGTCATTCAGCCAGCCAGATGGAAGTGATTTAAGCAGGTTGGAAAGCAGTTTCATTCGTTTGCGGCGGAACCAATCAGCGGTATGGGGAGTTTGACTCTACTCAGAGGGACGAATCAACTAGGACCGATCGAATTCTATCTACCTACTTGGGCAAACATGAAATATGTCATATTGTAGACAACCTGAAGTCGTTCAAAATAATCAACAAGCAAGAGAAACCTAGCTTGCTACGCCTTGCTGAAGCAATTGCTATCAAACGACTTAAACCAAATCTATGTACGCAGAAAGAGACAGTGGTGCATCTTGCACTGCCGTGGTGATAACAAAACATTTACAACTTTCATGAGTCACCCATTTTCATGTTTAGAAAACTCTACTCTCTCATCTAAACATGAGTCACCCTACCTTGTTTCTTTTCTTTCCTTTTTGCTATTGGCTGTTAGATAAGACGTTTTCTTTAGTTATGTAATCTACTTTTTTGTTATGCTCTTTCTAGCTAAACCTTGTTTCTATACACACACATATATGTACGCAACCCTGCTTTTTGTTTCCAAGCCTAATTGTCTAATTATTCTATGAAAAGTCAGTGTTTGTAACTCCAAATCAGTTAAATTATTCCGGACCAATGTTAATTTTACTTCGCACCAATTACTCCTTGTGATCGTGGAAAAGTATGTTTAAATCTTTAATGTAATTCATATTTTTTATCGTTCAGGTTGTAGCTAGTTGAGAAGAATCCCCGAAATGATAATAAAAGATGAGCTCATATTATCCTGGTACAATTGTTGTTCTAGCTTTGTTTAAAAATGAAATACGTCGAATTAAGTCCGCAGTTCGGGAGGAGGCGTGGAATTTCTCCATATTCTTCTCTGGAAGCCAAAATTATCCAATAGATGCGATCTGGTTGAACGGCATGAATGGCCATGAATGGCAATTTAGATTACTATTATAATTGTTCCCTTGGGTTCATAGTGGAACAAAGGGCTTCAACTGCATGTCGTCAATTGCTTCTGTCTTCCTTCTGCTGTACTTTTCACCTGCATCCATGTTAATTAGTCCATACTGCTTCAACTCCTCTTCACACGATCTCCTCCATGTCACCCACCCTTGCAGTGACGTCCCACTCGCCGCTTCCCTTTCGGGTTTCACCGAAGGGTCTGACGTGCGATGTTTAGATAACAAGTATAAATGTTTTTAACATGGTTCAACATCTGTGGCTGTATTAAAATATCTTCATACTTTGTCGGCATTTTAGTAGGAACATCCAGACGGAACTTCAAGTAAATGTAGAAAAGATGGAGGTGATGAAAATAACCAACCATCCAACAACAACAACAACGACAATAAGCACCAATAACCAGCACCAATCAGTTCTTCTATATGAATCAGAAACTTGCACTATGCGTCATGAAAAGCATTTTCAATAGCCTGGTGTAGAGTTTTATCGGCAGCTGCCTTCACTCAAAATTAAAGATCGAATAGCCAGAAATGGATAGCGTCGATAAAAAACTGGAAATGTACCAATCAAGAACGTGTCCATAAAAAAAATATCCTGAAGAAGACAGAAATGTGTTGAGCGCGCGCTAGGAAGACAGTCGAATGACGCTGGGCACCAGGCCATCTCTCAAGTAGACGGTGACATGGGGAAGGCCATGTGGGGAGTTGGAGATGAGAGGCTTTGGGCAACAGTTAGGTCAGATGAAGAGGACAGCAGGAAATTTGGAAATTTGGAGATGCATTTATGAAGCAGTACAATCCACCCAGAACCAATGATATATGTCTGATTTCACACAAACTGGAAGATATGAAAGTGATGAAAAGCAACAATGGAACAATGAAACTATATAAATGAATTTAGGAAGTCGTGTGATTACCTTGATATGATTATGAGCGATAAATTGTGCTCTAAACGGGGTCATCAGTAAACATTACTGTATAATATCCGGTCAAGGGTCAAATTAGTAAAAATTAAAATTAGGAATTAGAATGCCATAATAAACAGGCGAGGGATGGATAAAACTCAAACAAAGTAGCATCATGATAGCTAAGAAGATTGACATTGTGCAATTAGGGGTTAGAAATGTAGAAATAACAAAATAGACAGGATGTTTGAATAAGAACTAATGTGATGAATAACTGCTTATGCAATTGGGGATTAAATGTGTGGAAATAGTAAAATGACAAAATAAACACTAAGTTCGGGCATGAAAATATGGTAGTGTGAACAGCACGCGAAAGACAAGCTGTCGCATTGGGCCACCTCAACGTGCATATACCAGTTTACTTGCTCTTGTGGAGCTGAGTACGTTGGCCGTACCATGCGCCGACTTGAAAAACGCGCTCGTGAACACTACCCAGCCTGGTTAGTAAAAGGAAACCAAAAGCGTGTATACAGTTCAGTGATAGAACATTTGGTCAATTCAGGACATTCAGCGCCACTCGAAAAATCCTTCAAAATAGTATACAAGATTCAATCAAACCTATCAAAGGGAGTGAAATCAAGACATCTGGACATAGCCGAGGCGCTAGCTATACAAAAGCCCAAACCCACCCTTTGTATACAAAAGAAGTACGTCCAACCCCTGTCCTTGCCATGGCCATCATAAACAGGTAATTATTTAGTAATGACCATCCCATCGCTTTTCTTACCTAAACTTCCTGTTTATTCTTGTTATTTTAAGTTTTTCTTAATCCCTGTTCACACTACCATATTTTCATACCCGAACTTAGTGTTTATTTTGTCATTTTACTATTTCCACACATTTAATCCCCAATTGCATAAGCAGTTATTCATCACATTAGTTCTTATTCAGACATCCTGTCTATTGTTGTTATTTCTACATTTCTAACCCCTAATTGCACAATGTCAATCTTCTTAGCTATCATGATGCTACTTTGTTTGAGTTTTATCCATCCCTCGCCTGTTTATTATGGCATTCTAATTCCTAATTTTAATTTTTACTAATTTGACCCTTGACCGGATATTATTCTGGAACTTTCCTATCCATTTGATATAATTACTGTATAACACTGTGAGACTTTATCAAAACAAAATAATGGAATTACACTCTACCACAGTGCACAAGTTTTATTTTTATATCATCGAAAAGCAACAAGTTGGCATAAGAAGTATCAAAGAAAAATATGACTTCAGGTGGACCTAGAGAAAACAGAGGTGATGGTTAAGACTCCTGGCCAACAGCAACAGCAACAACAACAACAACAGACAACAATCAGCATATATAGGAAGAACCTGAAAGAAGCAGCCACCTTTACCTGCCTACCTACCTGAGAAGCATCGTTTCAACTACAGGCGGACGAAACTGATGAGCATATAAAAGCGAAGATTGGAAAAGCAAGGTAAGCTTTCATTACTATCAAGTCTATGTGGAGATCAACACTCAACACTCAGCAAGAAAAATCAGATCTGGATTTCCAACTCTTATGTGAATTCAGTCAGTGCTACTACATGGACGGGAGGCTTGGTGTGTCACAAAGGCCACTTCGAACAAACTATACACCTTTATCAATACTACTCAAGATAAGGTGGCTGGCCAAGAAAGATCAGAAACAGGGGTCTCTGGGAATGAACGAATCAAGCCAGCAGGAAGCAACTGTGCAACAAATATGCAGAAAGAAATCGAGGTGCATTGGATTGACCATACTCTGAGAAAACAAACCATCATCAAGTGAGCGACATCATACGCCAGGCCATCACTGAAGTGGAACCCGAATAGCAAGCGGCAAGTTGGTCGTCATTGCGAGGGTGGGTTGACCTAGAGGAGGTGATGTGAAGAGGAGATGAAAGCATATAGGCTGAGAACCGAACGCAATGAAGACGTTCGGCTGAAGCCCTATGTTCCTCTAGGAACTAAAGGAAACAATAATTATAATAGTGAGATACTGGAGGTATGTTTTGTCCTTTCCGAGACTCATCATCTGGTTGTTCATTTATACAAAGGAGTAATGTTATTTCCACGTAGACTCAGACCTGGCACTTACCATCTCAAACGTCAAAAAGTTACCTACTAGGCTACTAAGAGACATGTGAACACAATCACTCACTATGGTACAGGAACGTCCAGCTGACGAATCAAAAGCGGTACGAAACTCGAGTCGTGAATTCATTTGTCTCAGCCACAGCAAATCAGATCAAACCATGTTAATCACAAAAAATAGCTGGATTAGCAATACTAGAAGCCAATGTGCCAGCAAAGATCGAACATTCGCGTGACTGAAAGCTACCGAATGTTGAATTAGTTAGTATGTCCTAAAAAAGGACTCTTAAGAAGAGTTGTTATGTATACCAGTTGTAAACACAAAGAGTTAAATGAAGTAAAAAAAAGCAACTGAAAAGGACCCATCAATTGAATACTCTTCAAACGTGATTATTTATATCAATCTATTCGAAAGGTTAACAAGCTTATGTACACACAGATGCATGAACATCATGTGATCACAAGTAATTATCATCTTCAACAAATGTATTATGATCGATAATAAGGTGAGTGATAATTTACTCTAATATATAATTTGAAAGAAGGTGATAACAATCGTCAAAGTACACATTAAAAAACAGAAATGAAGTTGCCACAGATAGAAATAATTACAAGTT